AGGAGAGGTGGGATGTTTTGTGTAGTATGTCTGCCAGTGGCTTTAAATATTCCTTTTAAGGCCTTTGCTCTAATCTCTTCAGCATCCTTCCTCTTTGTTTACAAAAATCCAGGTGAAAGGTGTTAATTTAGCTTCTAATCAAGTTAGTTACCATTGTTATTAAATAGCTGATCTAAATTTAAGCATAATCCCTAATTTAAAGTGCAGTAATATATTGTTTGCTCTTGCTGGCATAGTTTTAATTTTCTTTACTATAATTGCTTATATTCTGCCCCAAGGCAACTGCTGGGCAGTGCTAAGCTGAGGTGTTAGGTAAGCTGGTGTCACTGCCCCTGCTGAGCTTTGCAGAGCAGCAGAGGCACAAATGTTCTTCTCTTTCTGTTTCTTATTGGCATCTCAGCAGCAGGACAAGGATTTTAGCTGTGCTGGTGTGTTCTGTGCTCCTGTCAGTCCTAATAAAAGCTTGTTCAGGAAGCATATTTTCTTGCTGGGGCTGTCCCTGCTACTCAGGGTGGGTAAGAGGGAGCAGCATTACCTCTCTTGTATGTTCACATAGAGGGCATCTAGGAAACTTGCACAGTTTGTTGTTTGGTATGAACCCCAGCATAGCTGCTGTTCTTTTCCCAAAGCAGACGAGATGATACCAGCAAATACAATTCTGCTATGTCAAGAGAGTGTTATAGCCTGTAGCAACCCAGCTAACAGATGTCCTGGGTCACTTGAGCCTTGTTTATTAGTTTATTGACTCAGTCATATTTAAACTGCCATCAGCTTTGTTGGCAGGATCTGACATCTGTATAATGGTTGGCATTGCCAGCTAATTGCTGGTCAGTGAACCTCTGTTACTGGTAATGATCTTCATAGCTGCAAGAGCACAGCTTGGGTTTCAAGTATCCATTTTTGCTAGCAGTGCCAGAAGTCAGGTGTGCCCTATTTTGACTTGTAAATGAAGCAAATATTCTCATGGAGCTATTGAAGGCTAATAAAGATGACAAATGTTATTTTCACCACTGTTTTTCCTTTTGTTGTCTAAGCTGCTCAGAAGCTTCTTTTTCAGTTTGTAGGGCATGTTACTTTCCTGGTGGACAGGGCAGGAGTGCATTCTCTAAGGCTGGATTTTGATCTTTGTCCTTAAAAGTAACTGGAATTTTGTTGGTAAAAGTAGTTGCCAGAAAAGTTTTTCTCTTTGATTTGATAATGAGTTTTAACATGTTCTCAGGAAAAAGAAAGGCTGCTTGTAATAAGAAAATTCCTGTAACATTTTCAAAAGAATGAGGTTTAGATTAACTCTAAGTGAATTAGCTTTGCAATTAGCCCCTTCACAAAACTGATCTACATGATTAAATAGATGGAACCAGCTGAACATAAAACTGCATTCATCAATCTAGTAATAAAAGAAGAGTAGTTTGTAAAGATGTGTGGGACAGGTTTTAAATACCAGCGCACAGTTTGATCCTGCTGCTATTAAACTCTCTTAGTGATGCATTATTTTGTGCAGCTCTTTGTCACTTTGTAGCTCTGTTGTGTGTAACATGCAGCCAGAAGTACCTTGTGCTATATAAAGGTGGAAGTTGTAGGATTCAGGCTCATCCTTTTCCCTTAACTTCTGCTACTGCCTTGCAATTTATATTGTTCATTTAACTTTTGATATCATGAAAGGACCTAATCTTTCCATGACACTTTTGTTAGAGTCAATTTGTGACTATTCTTCTTACAAAAGGGATTGAGACCAGCCTTTTACTTAAGCCTCTTGAGCTTATAGGAAAGGGATGACCCTCTTGTAGCCCACAGGCCATGAGTGGCCTACTCACAAGGATCCAATTTCACAAAGTCACACTGGAGCCCTTCCACTTCAGCAGAAGTGAGTTCAGGGTTTCCTGTTCCTTTTGAATCCCCTTCAAATATAGTTTTATGTGAGGGCTCTCAATATTAATTCATAAAACACTGAAATTTTATTCAGGAAGCACACTTCCTGAAGTCTGTGCCTTCAGAGGTACAGGTTGTGGTTGTTGTGGTGTGATTTTTCCCCGTGTAAACTTATTTATAAGTGACACAAGTACTGCCTGTACCAACTGACAACAGTGTTGCTGCCCTGTGAAAATGAGAAATGTTCTAGTCTTTGACTTCTGACACAGCTTCCTTCCCAGAATGGAAAGCCTGACTGTTAGTAGAGACCTGCATTTGTGTGGCATGTAAGTGGCTGTATCTGCATCTGTTCCCCTTCAAAGGGCAGCAGACCTTTGATGTTCCTTCATTAAAGTTTTGCTCTTCCTTTCCATGTAAACCATTTCATGGCACAATTATGTGAAGGCATCAGTCCCAGAGGATAGAAATATTTCTGTGTGAAAGAAGGCTTAAGCCTCATGGCTTTGTGTGTATGACACATCCATCAGGAGTAATCCATGTGATGCTGTTTGTAAGACTCTTTTGATAGCTACAGCATGAGAGAACAAAAGCATGTGAGTTACAGGAAAGCACACTTTAAGCTTCCCAGCCACTTTTTACCTTTCATTCAGTGTATTTTCAACTTCTGTACCACAGTGCTTGACTGTGAGGTCTCCATTCTGTTAATAATAAAACAACGATGCGGAAGCACAGATCTGGAATCTGACTAAAGGCAAATTCCTCGTAACTCCTTGAAAGCAATTAATGACAGTTCATTAATTCTTAACTTCTGGAAGAAATCTTGTTGATTTGGAGATTTCTGCCTTATTTATTTGAAGATATATGTGAGGAAAGGGCATGATAATCTTTAACCATTGAGTTTGCAGCACTCTTGATAAAATTATTTTATACTCAAATGAGTATTTCTGCATGACTTAAAAGATGTGTAATTCATTTGGGAAATAGTTCTGAAAGTGACTCCACCCAGATCAGAATGTGTTGCCTGCTTCATTGCCAGTCAGTAAGTGCTGTTATTTCACTGAGACAAAAAAACTGAGGCTTGTTGAAGGTTTTTTTGCTATCACACAGATACCTAACTCATAACTTCCTGATTCTTTAGCAAGGAAGGTGGAATTTTGTTTGAATGCAGCTTAGATGGGAAGGTTTTTGAGTAGTTAAAACTGTTACCTTTATGAACCAATAAACACAGCACTCCCAATATTCAGTATTTGAATATCTCAAGTGACAATCTTTTGTGCAGGAAAGCTACATAATTATGGAATATACTGGAAACTATCACATATTGGATCCAAAACCACACTGTTTTTTTTGTGAATTGGGAATGAAAGACTTGCTGGCTTTGTTTTCCCTTGTTTTCACTTTTAAAACTTTGTTGACTGAGAGTTTATAAACAGTTAATGGAAACAGCTATGTGTTTTGTATTTCAGAATGTTATTTCATTCTCTCCTAGGTATCCTTATGGGAGCTTTTATAAAAATCATAGAGGCTCAAAAGCTGGCCAACTGGAAGGTACATTTGAAGCAATTAATTTTTAATTGTAGAACAATCCTTAAATGCTTGAAGTAAGACTGTAATATTAGTTTCTTTAGATGTAATGTCCAAAAACTTACATACAGCATACTTGATGCCAAAATGTGGGGGTTTTTTTAATAGTAATACAACCCCTTAGAAGTCCTTTTTCTACACAGTATTTTTTTTTGCCCTGCATAATTCTTCTAATGGTACCAACTCTGTTCCTATTAGATACGTGGTAGAAGGTGGCACTGGGCATCTTTGGGATCAGTCAGAGAAAAAAAATATAGCATTTTTTAAATCTTGTGTACTATTTGACTGTATTTACTTCACTTTTTCCTTTTGGACTTAATTTTGTAGTTGTTTTCATAGAAAAAAATGTGTTTTGATGGGTTGCTAAGTCATGTTTTGCAGGAAGTTGTTAACGTAGATTTCACAGGTAAAAAGGAGCACTTCTTCAGAATAGCTGTGCTAAAAGTCATGTTATTTACTTATTGTATTTACTTATGCTTAAAACTGCATCAAACTGGTGCCAAGAGCAGAGAGTTCACAAGAGAATCCATTCATCATAGCATGTTTCTTGGGTGCTCCATTGCTTCTTGTGGAGACACTGCCAAAACCAGTCTGCCTGAAGCAGCAGCATTTTTCACACTTTTCACTATTCCTGCTTGTATTTAAAATCTTGCAGTCTTTAAATGGTGATTTTGATTCATAGGATCAGTTTGCTAGGATAAGATCAGTGAACTGGTTGAAATCACAGTGGTTTCAGTCACCAGTTTTAACCAGGATTTATATTAGCAAGCTGAAACTCTTGGTTTGAGTAGTGACTTTTAATTCTAGCTTTCAGCTTAATATTTCTTAGCAGTTATTTCCCTGAAGGAAGTTGTTTTTTTTCCTACTTAGTTGAAAGACATTAAAATGTATAGATTTTCACTCAAATGTACCTTTTTAATTACATACTATACTTCTTTTGTCAACTAACTACACTAATTTTGTGTACATTCATTTAAGCAAATACACAGTTCAAGAGTCATGTTGTGATATTTCATTTTTATATATTTACTTACTAGAAACAGTGGGTGTGTACTAGTTAGTGTGTTTTCATTCCTGATTTATGTCAGCTGAATTTGAGTTAAAATGGTAGGTCAGCCAAACAGCCACAAAATCAGCTTTTTAAAAAGAAGGAAAAGGAAAGCTGAAAGTACACCAAGATATGAGCACCGATGCTACAAACACAGGAAATACTGATCACAGCTAGTGAATTATGTAGTTTATTTCTGGTGAGCACTGGTCAAATCTTGGGAGATGCTGAGGATGCTGCTCATATTATCAGCTGAGGTGAATGGTCACAGATACCACATTGTTATTTGCTTAAGTTACTTTCACTATGTTAAAGCTTAGATCTTAACATAGGCTGTCATAATTTCAGGTGTGAAATGTTCTAATCAATAATTATTAGGTACTTTATAAAATGGTTTTTAATGGTTTAAAATTTGCTAGACAATTTGTGTTTATCTGAGATGAAAAAAAAAAAATAAAGGAGTATTTAACTTCAGGTTATATCCATGTAGAAAGCAAATCCTGGAGCAAATCCCTGCCCTTAGTCCTGCCTTACTAAGTCTTCACTGCACTGTGCACATGCTGGTGATTCTTGCTGGTCAGCATGGCTGATGATGACAGTCCTCATGTTTTACTCTCCTGGTCTCTGTTTCAGTGCAGCACAAATACAGTCCTTCCTTTTCATCATTTCTCACCTCCTTGTCCAGCTCTGCTTTCAAGGCCTTTTAAACAGTGCAATTAATCAGGCACATGCGGTTTTTGTTCTAGCAGTGCTGCTGTGTTGACAGACACAAGGTCGTGTTCCCTGGACACACTGGATGGTGTGTGCAGGATAATGGACTAGAGCATTTCAGTATAAAGGATGAGTTTTATTTTCTAAGTCCCCCAAATCCTTTAAGATGATTATCACTGGTACAGCCAGGAATGAGACTCTAAAGAGATGAGCACTTCCTTTTGGAAAGCTGGTGTTCTAACAGGAGAGTCAATCAGCTGTTTAACCTGGATTTAAACAAATTAATCATGGCTTACAAAGGTGACAAGTTGTGCTGGGTTCAGAACTGTGGGAGTCAGGAGGGAGATTGGTGGGTAAAGAGAGAGGGGCACATTCAGCTGTGACTGATTTGCCTTCTGTGCTTAGTCTGCCAGGAGAAAAATGTAAGGTGCCATTTTGGGGGTACTACTCCCTGACACAGAGTGAGCCAAGTGATGAGATAGGTGACCAAGAGTAAAGTCACCAAAAATAACTTACTTCACAGTAGGTTTCATTTATATCACTCTTGATGGTAAAAAGAAACCATCAGAACAGTACCATTAAATTACAGGCACAAATTACATTTGCCAAGAAGAATCAAGCCTCAGACTCTCAACAGTGCTGTGCATCTTGAGCATGTTCACTTGCAGTTGTGCTTTCTTCTTGTTAGGTAATGGGTTTTCTAGTGAAACTGCATTTGGTCCCAGTTAACCTAGATTCTCTTCAAACCAGAGGCCAAAGAGGTCACTGTTTCTTGACAGCCCTTACAGATTTTGAGACAGTGAGATAAAATCAGAATACTTTTTGTGGAAGCAGACGGACTTTTCCTTTGCCATAAATAATCTGTTTCTTGTGCAGCTTATTTGGAGACAGTAATTTAAAATAAGTAACACCTAGATCTTAGATTTCTATCAGTGGATTAAAAAAAAACACCCCAAACAATAAAAGTAGCAGCCCTTGGACTAGCTTACTGTCTTTTAGTCTTTTGTTTTGTCATAAGAAGGAAGAAAACATTAATGCCATTTTCATTTTCCAACATAATTTGTTTTAAGTAACTTCCCCTTTGGAAGATGTTTTGTTATTTCAATAAATATGATAACCTTGAAATTATACTTCATTCTTGTCTTGCAGGAAGAAGAAATGTTTCGGCCAAATATGTTTTTTCTGCTTTTGCTTCCACCTATTATATTTGAATCTGGATATTCATTGCACAAGGTCAGCCCCTGCCAGACACTCATTTTACATGTTAAGGTTTTGTTTAGAACACGTTCTGCTTTTAATTATCTTCATGAAGTTTAGGATAATTGCATTGAGTATTAATCTTCAGTAAATAGAAAATGCAAAATTTAAGCCTCTTCAATCCAAAATGCAGGGAATGCAGCTTGTTGCTGTTAGCTGAATGTTGGCAAGATGTTGGGTACCATACAGAGGTTGTTCTTCTTGGTTGGAAGAGGTTTCTTTCCTCATCAGAGCTGTACAAGGGCTGGTGTGATGGAGGCAAAATGGGAAGAATATGAGTTTTCCCTCAGATAATTGTCACTGATCTATTAATTATTGTATTCCAGGGTAATTTTTTTCAGAACATTGGTTCCATCACTCTATTTTCTGTATTTGGCACTGCAATATCAGCTTTCATTGTAGGTGGAGGAATTTATTTCCTGGGCCAGGTAAGAAAAACTCCTTTGAAGTACTTTAGTTTCTCTGCCTTGCAAGTCCATTTTTCAAGAGCAGACAAATACAATGGAAATTAAATCCTGGGTCACAAAGTCCAGGTCTCTGCTAGGACAGAGACAATGTTATAACCCCCTCCACAGGCATAGTATGCTGCATGTTGAAAGCACCTAAGGCCTGAGTTAAGTTTTACTTGGTTTTATGCACTCAGTCTTCCTACTGGAAGGCTGTTCTAAAACCTCTATTCTCTAGAGCCATCTTCTAATTTCCAGTATTAAACATATTTGTTCTTTTGTCAATGTTTTGGTTTTTTTGGTTTGGTTTGGTTTTTTTTGCTTCTCTGTTTTGGTGTTTCCTCACTGATTAAATATGGATAATTGTTTTCTCTCAGACTTCATCAGGTAGGCCAAACAATCCATTATTTCCTCTTTGCCTCTCAGATTTGCATTTCTGTGGATGTGTTAGTTACTCCACTCATCATGATCTGTTCCAGTTCCCCTGATTTTGGGTAACCAGAATTGGAGCAGTAGATGACTGCTGGAGGGCAGTGGTAGACTGGGTTTCATCACTCCTGTGATTTTTTTCATGATAATAAACTTAGGGTTTGATGAATAGTTTCATTTTTAAAAAACAGCAGAAAAAAAAACCCACAGTTGATTGTGATTTATTTTTTTTATGTCTTACCTATTCTTTCAGGCTGATGTAATTTATAAACTCAACATGACAGACAGGTAAGCTCCTGGGGAAATGGTGTAGTGTATGAAGATAAAGTCAAGATAAATGTACTGTAGTTGGCCAGCTCTTCTGGTTGTTGTTTAGGTTGCTTGGCTTCAATATGGTGTATGAAACAGACTGAACACTTCTGAACCCTATGAATTACTCTGATTTCCAAACAGTATTCTGTACATAGTTCTATTTTAGACAAGAAAGATACTGGAGTTTTTTAACCAACCTTTAAATTAAAATATGTAAACTTTGATTAGTATTATTTATATGTAGAATAAGGACGTAACTTTCTTGTCCAAATCTTCTGTTAAAAGCCAGAATTAGTTTTTCAGAATCAATAATATCGATTTTTCAAGAATTTAGCAAAGGATCTAATCAGTTTATTGGGAATACACCATCCTACCATTAAATAAAGTTTGTTCCTGGTTTGTTTGGGATTTTTCTTTGTTTATTGTATAGCCAATACAGCAGGTTTTTGTTAAAATCCAAAATAGATTGGGTGGCAAGAAATATAGCAAGTAAAACATGCATGAACAGCAAAAATCTTCCTTACTTGGTTTCAGCCTTTAACTTTACACAGCTGAGCAGTCTCATTGCCTCTGTATTGTCTGTCTTTGGATTCCAAAGTAATGAAGTTTTAGCCATTCCCTGTAAATGTTCCTCTTTAGCACTCCTGAACAGGTAACACTATGCACGTATGATTCATGGTTTCAGCTGTGTCTGTGAAGTTGTTTGCTTTACATCTCCTCTGATTTTTTGTCTTACTGTTCTCTTTTGTTTTTCATTTATTGACAAACCAAGACTTCCTCTTTGTCACTTCAAAGGGTACAACCTTTCATGGTGTAGAAACTATAACACATAATGTTACTACTTGTTCATGTGTTTAGTAGGTACATACTTTCCTTTCATCTAGTTTTCTTTTTTGTTTTGTGTTGTCCCAGTTTTGCATTTGGATCTTTAATATCTGCAGTTGACCCTGTGGCTACTATTGCCATTTTCAATGCCCTCAATGTGGATCCTGTTCTTAACATGCTGGTTTTTGGAGAAAGCATTCTCAATGATGCAGTCTCTATTGTCTTGACCAAGTAAGTGCATTTGAACTACCTGTGTTTATGAGAACAGCAACCACATTATTTTCTGTTAAATATTCATTCAGATAGAGAGTAATAATGTATTTCTGGTGTAAAGCTGGATTTTGTATGATCCTTCTTTGTTAAAAGCAATCTGTAGCATGAAGTGCAAAGGCAGAAGACAGTAAATAGGTGTCTTATTACCACTCCCTCGGTGCCTCCTCTCATTGACCCCAGAGAATTGATTGTTTTCTAAGCCCATATGTTTCCCAGCTCTCTTTCCATCTGACAGTCCTGACAACAGAAAAAGCAACGTGTCATTTCAGGCTTGCACAAAAATATTTACCTTGCCAAATATGCATCTGTGTCTCCAGTATCATTGGTTTATACCCAGAGCCCCACTTCAGGGGGGGTTGGGGACACGTCAGCATCCATGCAATAGTTTTGTATTTACGTTGGAGCTGTCACAGGGAATAACATCCTCCAGTGCCCTTAGCCTTTGCCTGGGCTAATTCTTTGGGGCTGAATGCATAAAAAAAAATAAATCTAGATTTTCATGTTACTGGTGAAGTTAACAGAAGTGACTGTGAATGTATGGGAGTAGTCATACTAAGAAGGTAGTAAAGTTAGAGTAATTTTTCAGTTAACTAATTGCTTTTAATAGAGCTGTGGTTCTTTTATGGAAGACCATGAAGGCTAACAGCAGTCAAAAGAAACACCAGTTAAAATCCTGCCTTCTTTGCATGGAATTCTATGAAATACATCCCTGAAATTCAAAGAGATTTCTCCCCTAAGAGCTTCTTTGTTTTCCTTTGGTGACCTTCTTGTCTCTCATGCACACCTAAATATTTGATGAGAGGTCTTGTTCAGTTGTTCTTCTCTGATGATCACACAAGCTATCCTTCTTCATGCCCAGAGTTTTTACTACTGCAAAATGTGCTTTTGTTTCCTTTTTAAAGTTTGAAAATTGTTTTGTAATACTGGGCATTATCACAGCCTATTTACACAATTCTGGGGATTCTTCAGAAGAGCAATGCTGGATTTCTAGATTTTTAGCAGAATTATTTTTCCCTTTGGGGCTTACGCTAAGATTTGATTTAACATCTTTTGACATTCCTGTTTTTATACATATCCTAGTAAAAGCCTTTTAAGAGTGGTAGCAACAAAGAAATGCAAGTCTCTTTTGTTGTTGTTCTCAAAAGATGTTTGATATTTTTGGATCCAGGCTTAGAATTTGTAACTGTTTCTTTTTATTTATTTTTCATTTCTATCTAGCACAGCAGAAGGTTTGACAAGAGAAAATATGTCTGATGTAAGTGGATGGCAAACCTTCCTACAGGCACTGGGATACTTTCTTAAGATGTTCTTTGGCTCTGCTGCACTTGGCACTCTTACTGGTCTTATTTCTGCATTAATATCCTTTGTTTATTTTGGTGATAGTTTTATAAATTGGTGATCTTTGACAGTCTAACATTATTTTTCTTTTCCAGCATTTCCTAGGGGATATTTCTTAGACATTGTTTTGTTGGCTGAGCTCATGCTCATTTTGTTTTTATGTCAGTGTGCATGGGTGTGTCTTAAAAAGTTGCATCAATTTTTTATGAACATAATCAAGGTCTGAAATGCTGTATAGTATCTTGCATTACATGCACTGGAGTGTTACAAAATATGGTAATTGTTGTGTAAATGCAAAGTATATTAATTCCATTTCAGTACTGATCCATTTTTACAAGCATATATATACATAAAACATTTCATTAAAAAGGGGGAAAAAAAGCTGCTTTTCTTGAGGGCTTTTGAGTCAGACCAGCTCATTTCTCCCTATGTACTGTTCTATTTGGATTTACATGGAGTTATATTTTTCCTCTTCCACAAGCTGGTTGCTAAACAACCTAGAAGCTTCTCTGCTGAGATAAGGAGGAATGTTTGTTATCAGACACCTTTGTTACTTTTCAGAGCTTGTTTCATGTTAACACTGGCTTCACTGCAGGTATCTTTTGTGCTGAGCTTGTACAGCAGCTATTCATGTCATCTGGGACATACTGTTAAGCATTTTGTTTGTAAATAACAAGAACAGGCTGTTGGATTAAACATGGACATATTTCCTCTCTTGGTTCATTAGCCTGATTCCATGAACTTTTAAATTATTCCATACATAACAACAGAGGGAGACAGACATTCAACACTTCTTTCACCAATATCTAAGTGATATCAAGACAAAGAGAAAAGCAGGTTATATGCCCTTTTACAGTTGCTTGTGCTTCAAAGTATTGGATTTACCCTAAACATGCAAAATTTCAGTGCAGTGAAGGACATCTCTTACTAATTGCCAGTAGATAAATTCAACTGAAGGTTGGTGGTGGTTCATGACCCAGGAGGAATGTGAACTTCCATGTCACAGGCATCTGAATCCTCTGAATTTTAGCAAAGATAGTGGGTTGAGGATTTTAGGTGTAAGGCAAGGATGTGATTGAAGGAATAGTCCTCACTGTTAACATTACTGCAGATCTGTCATATCCATTTGGAAGTAACTAGAGGTCTAGTGACTGAACAGAGGAGATTGCTTGCATACTTAGTCCAGCAAATCATGATGTCTGAGACAAAATCCACTTGTACTTGGCAGCTGTGCTGCAGAACTGTGCATGACATGCAAAGCAGAACTTGTGGCCACATTTATTACTACAAATGTAAAGTAAGTTTGAAGTATCATAAGCATCAGAAGGACAGTATGTTTGTTAGAACATAAATGAGAGCTATTTTAACTCACTATTTCTTAACTCTCCCCTATTTTTAGGAAAGCCTTTAATATTTAATGTTTCTCTGTGGAGAAATTATTAAACTTCCCATACTTGAGTCAAAGGCCAATGTGAAGCTTCGTTAGCTATTCAGTAGATGAGTACATTAAGCATAATCATTGCTTTGTAATGGAATGACTCAGATGTAAATTTCTTTGAATTTTTTTTAATTTACTTTTTCCATAACGTTTTCATCTGTACGTGCTAAAGCACATTGATTTAAGGAAAACACCCTCCCTGGAGTTTGGGATGATGATTATCTTTGCTTACCTTCCTTATGGACTTGCAGAAGGTATCTCACTCTCAGGTGAGTAGCAAAATGAGTAAGTGCAAGCTTCTTTGATGAATCCAGGGAGTGGGTATTACTTGTGTCTGAGAGGGCCCCTGTTTTGTTACATGTTTTCTCATTTAACCTGTGCTCTTGCTTTTTACTTTGACTTAAAGAAACTCTGATTCTCTACTTCATGTTATTAAAGTATAAAAAAGATAATTGCAGTTTCCTCAGCATTAGTTAGCCAACATAAATACTGGTTTTCTCCCCAGTTACCTCTGCCTAACACAGGATTAAAATGTGAGCTACACACTATAGATCTCAGCCACATCAGCTAGCTTAATGTCCAGCCTACTACCCTGTAGTAGGTACTGAGGAAATCAGCTGAGACCATTCAGTGTTGACTGAACTGACACATGTAGGGCAATGAAATTATATGAAACCTGAGCAAGCAATTGGATATGTTAAAATATTTGTATTGCTGTTAAAACAAGTTTTGTCTTGTGAGAAGATTGTTCTGGAGGGTCCCAGCACCTGACCTTTTCTATTTCTAATTTATATTGTTTATCAATATAAAATGTTAACAAAGTATCACAGAATTACAGTGCCTTATATAACCAACACATCTGTAAATTGGTATGCAATAAAAAAAATTGCAGTAAGATTCCTAGTTAGTTACTCTCAGGATGACAGAGGTTCTTTGTCATTTTATTTGTAAAGACAACCTCTCTGGTTTGCTCAGGTGCCTCTGCAACTCTCCAGAAAGATAAACTGTGAATGACCTCAGGCCACCTGCTTTTCAGACAAAGGATTCATTTGACTGGACCTCAGCTATTCTAATCCTTCCAATTGTGTTCATCTGGGCCACACCTGGGCATGTAGCTGCACCCAAATATTTGTAGTGTTTTAAACTTCCTTCATTTGTGGCAAAGCAGATTATACCCACATGTCATCCCGTCCTCTCAACTGCATTGTAGTTGGTTTCTTCTGAATTATGTTGTCAGTTATTTCCTCATAAGGAAGACTGTAGTTGTTCTTCAAGTGAACTGCTACGTTTTTCCTCAGACCTAACCATCTTCTCAAATGACATCCTCTGCAGTTGTAAGTCCATGCAGCAGCCATGGAAATGCTTAGAACTTCCTTTAAGATGCCCAGCTCCCTATGAACAACCAACAGCATCTGTGATGTGTCTTGAGCAGTGAGCAAAATAGGTTGAAAATCAGATTCTTTCTATAACCAAGAGCCAAGAAGCAAGGTAGATGGAAAAAGTCCCTAAGACAAAGGAAAGATTTGTGAAATACAGTTAAATCTGAGGTAGCTGTTCTGGCCTATCAGCTGCTGTATCTCTGTCCCAGCTGTGCATGTCATTAGGGCAACTGAACTCTGTAATGGAAACGTGGTGGCATTTCCCCTAGTTGATAGCTGAGATTAATCTTCATAGTAACTTACAGGAGATAGTTTAGTGACCCTTTCTGCTGAGACAAGGGACATTCTGCACAGTTGCAGGTCCTACCTTCCAACCTAAATGATTCTGTGATTGCTATAAAGCTAATTTTTGCCCTGACTTCTTAAGTCTCAGTAGCTTTTCTGGTTCTCAGATTGATAGAAAAATGAGGGGTACACCTGCATGTGCTGGTCATTCTTAATTTTTTATGGTATTAGATGTGGTGCTTCATGCTGGAGTGCATTCACACCCATGCCCTGTTGCTCTTGTTCTGCTTTTGGTAGAGAGAGCAGGCCTGGCTGATCAGCAGGTAGGAAAG